GGATGGATGGATGGATGGATGGATGGATGGATGGATGGATGGATGGATGGATGGATGGATGGATGGATGGATGGATGGATGGATAGATACCGAGAACGGATGAGGCAATAAGCCTGTACATATTCTTATCATCCTTGCCAAGTTTATTTGATAGTATCACATTACAGATAACCTTTCTATCCCATGGACGAACAGCCAAACATGTCAACACTTCCCATCTTCATATTTATCCTCTACTTATTTCAAGGCATCTTATACGGATTACAAGTCAATTTTCTACCGATTACTTTAAGGAATAAAGGTCTTTCTTTATCCTTCATTGGTTCACTCAACCTCCTTGCTCTACCTTGGATTTTCAAGTCATTATGGGCTCCGGCTATCGACTTGTACTGCAGTATACGATCATGGTTGACGATAACTCTTACAGGAATCCTTACCTGTTTGTTTCTGGTACACCTAACACAAGAAGGTACTCTTTTTTCCCTCATAACCATTATTTTAAATATCTTTTCCGCAACACACGAATTGGTGATTGGGAAGATCCTGCTTCGTCAACTTAAAGATGAACAGCTCAAGACAGCGAGTTCTTACAAAGTTTTTGCTTATAAGGCGGGAAGTTTGCTGGGAGGAGGTGCTACAATATGGATTTCATCAGTTCTGGAACTAACAAACCAAGTATTCCTCATAATGTCGGCTATTTATTTTGCACTTTTATTCTTTACAATATTTCTGATCCCGGAAAATGTTTTAGAGAAACCGGAAGTAATGAAAACTCGTGACAGTCAAATGGTTTCTTGCGCTGTACCGGAAGTGAAGGCCAAAAGTTTCGATTTCTCTGGCGTGAGTCTGTTTATAACTAATATGTCACGTGGTTCAAAGTGGATGGTCACGTGCTTGCTTGTTTATAAATTTGCATCTCATAGTTCGCATTTGTTGTTCACGATGGCGTTAGTTGATCGGGGTGTTAAGGTATCTAATATTGGCTTGATGTCTGGAGTCATAGGACATGTTATATCGCTACTGGTTGCCATGGTGATTGGAATTATGCTCAGTCAGAAAAGGTTAGTCCACGAAGGGATTAATACAAAACAATAGTCATTTATATAAATGGCTATGAAATTTAGGTATGACGAGTTGCTAGGCTAAAAAATCACTCACAAGACATACAAACAGGTCGACAGTCTAGAATTTGAAAGAGGGGTTCAAGCTATGAATTACTATAGAATTATATGATTATATGAATGATATGAGGCGTTCACATCAATATGTAACTAATTAAAGGTTTGCGCAAATCGTAGTAGAATCTATATTAACTTCTGCAATATTGCGCGCATCGACTTTTACTGACTAGTCACCCCCTTTTTGCTCATATTTCTCAGTATATCGTTAGTAAAAGTCATCCCCACTTTCCTCGAATTCCTGTTGAAAGCCTTTTTAGTCACCCACTTCTCAAATTCCAGGATCCGCCCCTGAAAAAAAAAAAAAAAAAAAAACACATTAAAAAAGAAAAGGTTGATCTTGGATGGAAATAGTTGAGAATTTTTGATCTTGTTATAAAAAATAGAATTTTCGATATAAAATGTTATTTAAATTAGCTTAACCCCTCCCTTCCCCATGAACTCCTTCATCTCTCATCTTTTCTTTTCTTTTTCTCTTCAGGTTCTCTTCTATGAGCATCCTTTTCTGTGTATCATTACTAGACGTTCTTAGTGTCCTGGTTCAAATATTCATTGTCTTTTCTCAAAATGCAGCCCAAGTATCGACAAATACAGGTAAAGGAATCAAAAGAATTTAGTTCAAGTTTTGGAAACACTGTTAATAAGTTAGTGCAGTTTTCGTATGACTGTGGAAAGCTGAGTGCCGTACGCGTGACGTGACGTGCCGTGATACTTTCTAGAATTTTAATTGGCTGATTTTTTTCACGCGCAATATGATTGGTCTAAAGGTGCCGTGATCTTGGCGTGACCGTTTCCGCCGTGTTTATGCCGTGTTCCGGGTATTTGATTGGATGGAGAGTTTGTCTGGCGTGTCCCTTGCTGTGTCACGACCGTGTTCGTGGCGTGAACTTTTCACAGTCATACGAAAACTGCACTATAGGCTCCATAGAGCAAATTTGGCATCACTGTGGAAAGAATTTTAGGCTCTACTTTTGCGAGTAATCAAAGATCTTGGTACGACTCCTTTTCTCCTGTCAATGAATTCCCTCCCCCTTACTCCAGTTACTATGTTCAACTGAAAACATTCCATACATTCCAAAAAAACTGGCGGTCTCATTTTTGATTCCATTTACTGGTATACGGTTGTGGTTTCATCTGGATCGAACTGAGATAGTACGCGGTTCGTCCTTCTAAGTTACACTCATATTGATCGAGGAATTTCATTTTTCTTTTCGTCCAGTTTTCTTCTCTTTTTGTCTTCAACACATCGTTCTCGGTGCGCAAGCCATTCCAGTGTTTTCTATCACTCTGATGTTCTGCCAGAGAGAACATTCCAAGTACCAAACAACACAGCATTCATTGTACACCACATTAGATACCTTGGGAAGCAAGTTCAGTTCGTTTATTGCTGGTTTGATGGCAGATTTCTTTGGCTATGCCTTTGGACTGTGTATTTCGTTTTTAGCCTCGATAGCATTCTTGTTTTTGGTTGTAAAAGGCCCCAAAGAACGCGAGATTGAGAGACAACACGCCAAAAGGGAATAAGAACAAAAAAACCTGAAAAATAACTGATACGAGTAAGATCAAAGCTTTGTTAAAATGCAGCCAACAATTCTCAAAAACATTTTGATCATTGCTGGTGACAGTATTCAAATAATCGCAAAAAAGTTCCAACAATGTTGAGTAAAATGCTGGCAATACACTGGATTCTGGATCAAATACAATGGATCCTGATCGCTGGCACGAGCTAGCACTGAGACTTTGCTGCAACAGCAGGAATAGATCCGCTTATGTTTATACGCGAGCTAACTTAGTGAACCCAACTTAGACGCAGTTTTAGGGTCAGTATCTTTTCATAAATAGCATTAAATGGCGGGGATCGAAAATTTAAAAAACGTGCAACAAAAAGTTTTTTACCAAAGCTAGTTGAAAGGCAAATCAATCTTGCTCAAGATATTATTTATGAAATGTATTTTTTTATTTAGTACGCGATGTATTTTTTGATTTTGTAATCAATACACCACAAATAACAAAATATGATGGTTCTACTCATAAACACATTGACATAAAAAAACTAAAAATATAAGGTAATACTATGGTTGATCATAAAGATAATTTTTGGATTTCAGCATAATATATGTGTATAGCTAGCGTTCCTCTGAGGCACTCTGGAAATAAAGGGTCTTTAATCTGATGTTTATACGGTTTGTTTTCTTCTACCATGGCCGATCTTCAAGGAAGCCATTTGTAGTTTCCTGTTGCGTTTCTCGTATTGGCTTGGCAGCTCGTAGAATGAAAATGTGAAAGCGTTAGACACGGGGAGTCTGTGAATCTGAGAATAGAATTAGATTTAGATAACTCAAAACTCAAGGCGTTAAAGTGCACATGAACCCTTTGACAATACATTCAGTACCGGTTCTGCATAAAGTAAATAGTTGATTGGTAAAATATTTCTTGATTTGAGTGACGCGTCTCTAAGTTAGGAAGGTTTATACTTCCAATATGTTAATGATGATGACGTCAGGTAAGGTATTTGAGTGTTTTTGTTGTAACTAGTAATACTTAATGCTGGTCATTTTGAAAATAAAAATTTTAAATAGCTTTCATGTAAACCATGAGTAAAATAATGATGCTTTTTAAATACTGTATCTATGAACCAGTTCGATTTTGTATATTTAATTAAGCCTTAATAGACGTCACACTTATTAGCATATTGGAAGTATAAACCTTGATATTTTTAAGATAACGCATCACTCAAATCAAGAAATATTTTACCATTCAACTATTTACTTCATGTATGATCAGTACTGAAAGTATTGTCGAAGGGTTCATTTGCACTTTAACATTAATATATAACTTTAAAGGTTCGGGCGCAACTTTGAATGCAACGAGAAATTGCAACATTTTCGCGTCTAAATCATAGTAGAATCAAGATTTACTTCTGCAATATTGCGCGCAACGACTTTCATCACGTGAACACGACCTGCGACGTGTTACGGTATATGTTGTACCGTGTATGTGTCGGTGGGTTTCCCACTCATGTGATAACCACTCTGTAGTTAGGGTTAGTATAGGGTTAGTTATCCATTAGGCTAATACTTTGGCTGAACTTTGCGCAAGTAACTATTTAAATCGTAAAAATATGTTAAAACCACAGTACAGAAAGTCAGTAATCAGAGCAGTAGATAAAGTAGTCTCAAACTAGTCTCTTACCGCACTGGGAATCCTCTTTGAAAATAACTCGGTTTTACTGTCGACTTCTTCAAAAAGCTCATCGCTATCGTCATCTTCATCGACAATGGCATCCATTTTGTTTCCTTTCTTAACTGTATGTGTTAAGCGAGAAGGACGGCGCTCCAAGTCAGCTATTTTAATGTCGCTTCTTATATCCGCGACCACGGAACGAAATTCATTATTGATTTCTTGTCCTGCCAAATCCTGCGCATGCTCCGAGGGCAAAACTGCTGTGCTGAATATGCTGTTTTTGTTGGTAATTAGAGTACTTTTATGCGTATCTGTCAAGCAACCCGATGCGTACAATGCTGTGGTTTCAAGGACATGTGGTTTGTTAAATGCCTGTGGCGTAACTGGTAAAGTTTCTGCCTTGACGTTTTCCATTTCCTTGCTGTGGTAAGCGTGCTTTGGACGCTTAATGGTAGTCTTTCGTTCCTTTTTGTGAAGGATTTCTGTTTTTCGCCTGTGTGGCAGGGCGAAACCTTCTTGAGCACCCTCGATGGTGAGGGATTCCTTTTCTGAGGACATGGGATGGTGGATTTTCTTTTTGTCTAAACACCACGTGCAACCATTGAATATGAAAAGTGAAAAATCGTAAGATAGTAATGGAATTGATATATTATCAAAAGTTAGATGGGTGGATAAATGGGTGGATGAATGGGAGGATTAATGGGTGGATAAATGGATGAATGAATGAATGAATAAATGGGTGAATAACGTGAGGTTAGGTGAGGTGATCAGGTGACGTCAGGTGACGTCAGGTGGGATGACGTGTGGTGACGTGATGTGAGTGGTTATGTGCGCGTTAGTGAGTGAGTGAGTGACATGTAGTATACAACGCTTTTTAAATCAACACAATTCCGTGTATCAAGATTTTTTCCAAATTCGACCTCATTCCAGACTGCTGTCGCAGCTATCTTTTCTTACCAGCTGAAGTACTAATATCACGAGATGATCTAACTCTATCTGTTCTACTGCTCAAGGGCTGCGCAGAGCTGGATTCTACCATTCTTTGTGAATTATCGGCAATCTGGGGTTCCTTTGCTTTAGACTTTTCCAGATAACGTTTTATGACTTTATCTTCTGCAAAACAAGACAACAATAGCATCTTCAATGAACAATTATCACGAGATATTTGACAATAATTGGACAAGACTTTTTAAGTTTTAGCTATGTACAGGTGACGTTGATGATGCATGATAATAATACACGATGATGATGACTATGATGCGTGATATGATGATGATACACGATGACAATGATGTATAATATGATGTACGAGAATACATGATGATAATGATGTATGATGATGATGATATATGATAATGATGATGTATGATGATGAGGATACATGATAATGATGATGTATGATATGATGTACAAAGAATAATACACGATGATTACCGAGTTGATGACACAAAGTAAAGATGATGATGATATGCGATGTCGATAACGATTTTAATGTCAAGATACATGATAGACTGATTTTATTTAACCCGTGAAGAATATAGTATAACAGTTAATAGACTCTAAACTCATTCTTTTCTTTTCTTTTTGTTTATCAACTAGTACTAACTAAATAGTCTTTTTTTCCCTTACAGTTGAATAAAATCACTCTAATGATGTAGGGTAGGAGTGCAGGAGGTACGCACTCCTCTCCCTCCCCCCTCTCCCC